AAGGGGATAGGTTGAGTTGTAGTTGGGAGACAAAAAAAGAAAAATGGTCTAGTCTTTTATATTTTTTTAATTGCTTGCTTGTTTTTCACAAAAAGCATCATGTCAGGTGTTGCGTGTATAACCAAGACTGTATAAAAAAACAAACAAACAATCTTATAATAACATCCAGAACATCAGTTTAAAAGTCATATGCCAAGGAAAAATAAAGAAGAGACAGTTGATATTGGGTTCTCATATCCTGCAAGCAAGTGAATTTGAACTTACAGCAACCCTATAGGAAAGGATAGGATTGCCCCTGTGGGGCCCGGGGAGCAGCTGGTTGTTTCATACCGATGACCTTGCAGTTAACAGTCAAGTATGACATGCAGCAGGCTACCAGGGTTCTTTTCGTCCTCATTAGGCATGCTAAACTATTTTAAAGAGACATAGCAACCATGTCTTTTAAGGTCTAGGTCAATGAATTATGTATTTCCTTTAGTGCCGCGGTGTACAGATGCTAGTGTGGCTCCACTGTCATATCTTTACATATTCCCTTCTTGGGTGCAGACATGGCCTGTATGAATTGCTTCTAAACCAGCGGTTCTCAATCTGTGGGTCGCAACCCCTTTGGGGGTCTAACGACTCCTTCACGGGGTCACATAACAATAGCAAAGTTACAGTGATGAAGTAGCAATGAAAACAATTTTATGGCTCAGAGAGTCACCACAACATGAGGACCCATATTCTTGTCACACAACAGCACTCACAGCAGTAAAGACACTTTCTTTGCTTCTGGGTTTGAAGAAGAAATGACCATGTTGTGAGAGAGCCTACGGAGGGACCCATGGGGCGAGGATTTCAGAGTAGCCTTGACTAGCGGAGAACAATGTTTGGCTGACAGCCAGAAAGAAAATCCGATTCGGGGTCCCACAACCAGCACAACGGAATTCTGTCAATAACCGAATGAGCTCAGAGGAAGCTTCTGAGATAGACTCCAGTCCCACCTCACATTGTGGTTTCAGTCTGCTATGGGCCTGAATAGTAAACCCATTTGGGTGTATCAGATTCCTGATGAAAAACGGCTGCGAGATGATAAATATGTGTTGTTGTAAAGTCTTATATTTGTGAGAATGTGTTATGCAGCAATAAGGAAATGTGATTTCTGTAGTCTGTTTGAAGTCATACTAAAAAAAAAGGGTGCACTCCATTCACTATTTGGTCTACCAATCCCATTCCACCAAAACACTACCAAATAAATGTATGCACTTCCACTTTATCAATCACTATCGAAACATTAGCTAGCATGTTATTTGCATGCTGTTTAGAGCCCTCATTTAGAGACTCATCACTCCTGCAGAGGGACTGGTGGAGAAAATGCCATGCTTCCAAAGATTAAGGACGTTGCTCCAGGTGCCAGAACTCATAGACACCTAAGTTAGAATTCATATCTATTGTCTGTGTCTAACAGGCAAAATCAACAAATGAATTCAACATTTATAAACGCACTTCCTCTCTCAGAAAATATGTCAGAAATGAGAAGAAGTTGGCGACCTGGCCATCCAACCACAGGGAGTACATTTGATCCTCCTTCTCATCCCTCATAGTTTCCAGCCTTTGTTTTCAATAATAGAAAATCAAAACAACACTTACTGAGTTACTATATAGTAAAGCTTGGCTACTCGCATTCATGCACTCGCCCATTCCCATAATTCCCTCTTTGAGTTAAAACCAAATTCAGCGACGCCTGATAACCCATGCCTGAGGGAGTCCTGCCCTTGCCATCAGGAGATTGTGACTTTTTAGCTCACATAGGCTTCCTTTCACCAGAAGTAAATTCTACAGAACTAGAAAACTAGAAGCACAGAGCTGCATATGAGAATCTGACACAATCAATGTAATCATTAATAGAAAAATTGAGATAAACATTATACTGACAGGAAATATCGCTGAAGAAGGCCAGGGGAAGAATGACTTCATTTTATTGTTCCCATGGGCAAAGGCAGAAGAGTGTCATTGTGAACGAATTTAAATCCCACCACAAAGCATTTGTACAATGTGCCATGCCACAAATCAAAGGGCAAACCACTGATCTCAACAGATAATAATTAGGAAAAAACCAGTACAGAAGAAGCAGGAACGCTAGGATGAAAGGACATTAGGAAATATCACTCCCAATTGTGATGACTCTTCTGGAATGTGCATCTTGACTGATTTTATAGGTTGTGATTTTCTCACCGCAGGCATTTAGAATTGGCATTTGAGCACTAGGAGAGCCAAGTTTAATTAACTTAAACTTCTGAATAAAGAGACAATCAGAGAGCAAGAGGGACATCCAATGCTGTAAGTACAATTTGCTGTTCAAACTGCAGAATCATATGCACTGCTGCTTTTATTGCCTCTTCACCTTATCAGCTGAAAATTGTTGCCAGATCAAGAAAATGATCTCTGCGATCCACAAGTCATCCCATTTATGACTTCCTCTCTGCTTCCCCCTTAGAATCATTGCAATGTGCAATCTGACCCCTGAGATCGACAATGGAAGTCAAAAGGAACTGAGTAGCCTCCAGTAGGACTCCTTTGAATGATAGAAGTCAACACCAGAGAATTCATTAGACAGATTCTCTGAGGACTTCAGAAAACTTCAGGTTTTTGGCCTGATCACTTTGGGATAAGAATAGGTAGAACATGAGCATAGGTGGATTAAAAAAAAATGCCATGTGTTTAAAAAGGAAGCATGTGAATGCACACACACATTTACAACACAGTAATTAATGCAGAATGGCCAGGTCACACACAAAACCAAGACACTCACTGCCATTGAGTCGATGCCATCCAACAGCGACCCTATGGGGC